ACACACACACACACACACACACACACACACACAAACGCGCGCGGGGCAGCAAGTATTGAGTCTTTCTGTCACCAAGCAGTATAGATTCTCACTAGGTCTGGCTTGTCCATCAGAAACAGTGTATCACTGTGCGTTCGCCAGCACTACAGCCTCCGAAGAGCAATCCGGCTGAACCTCCTCCTTCCCCTGTACATGGTCAAGTAGCTGTGCCCTCCCATTGTGTCATCACACAGCTACAGTTTGGTTAGCATGCACACGGCAGAGCCTCTGCTCCAAACACTGTGAAGGGATGGTCACTGCCCGCCTCTTCTGCAAAAACTGTGACCCCTTGTCTTCTTATACTTAAAACCCCACCCCCTAATTACTTCCCCAGCATGCTTCTGTGGCCTTGATCTGCCAGGCTTAAGCAGCTGTGAATGTCAGCCTGCTTTCCCGCTGACATGCCAGCAACATGCCCATGTGTCGTCAATGTTTCCAGGAAGCTGTCACAGAAAGTATGTGTCTCTAGTGTGTGGACTATCCCCGATGCCATCATCCGCCACATCCTCTCCTTTGTACGTCCCACTTGCAGTGTTGGGCATACACCTACTGCAACAGCAGACACATTTGCTTCGTCCTTGCCAGGCGAACGACAGATGCAGCGGCCTGAGGAGGAAAATAGACTACCATATGAACCACCTCAAGAGCGATGTACTGAAAGGTTATCACCACCAGGGCGAGCTGTTGCAGACCAAATCCCGCAGCAGATAAACACCCTTGCTTTGGATCAATCCCCGTCGTGTCTGCCCATAGGGAGGGAGTAAAAACTGGGGAAACTCAAGAAACCAGCTCAATGCCGCTCTGTGATGACCCACCTGAGATTTGGCAAACATGTGGTTCACATGCCTTGTGTTGTGAGAATTATGAATGGATAGCCCATGTGAGGTTTTGTCTTCATATGTATGATGACAGTTAATACTGCACTCATGTACAGCACCCCAACATCTCATGTCCAATTTGTAGACGGGCTGGAACGGCAATGCCTCTAGAATTGCGGTCGGTGTCCCTCTATGTTCCTAGCATGGAGAAGCCATGTAGCCTGTGAAATCTGTCTACGCCACGTCATTCGGTGCAGCAACTGCGACTGCAAGAATTGGATGCGGTGCTTCCACAGTCCACACACGAACCGGTTCTGTCCGGTTTGTAAGGGTGGGCCACTTACCATAGGCAACAGCTGTTCAATTCCAAATCTTCTGCAACCCAAACACTGACTGGCCCCTTGTACCATTGTAGGCTGCTCCAGCGGCGAGTATTTAGAACCCAGTGAACTTTGTCATGTCTCTGTTCTGTCCTTTGCCACTCCACTTTCTCCCCCTTACCCCTTCTCCCTTCCCTGCCCCTCACTCCCAATAGAGCTCCCCCTCCTATACCTTCCCTTCCTCCCTCCCCTTGTGTGCTACTACCTTCTACTCCAAAAAAAAGGTATAAACGTTGCATACGACTACAACGTACGCACGTTGTGCAACGAATTTGGAAGGTACAACTTTTCCAGGACGGCCCTTTGCGGGGTACGTTGTATTCGAATTTTGGTCTATGAGAGGGGGGCCCTGGAATATACGAGAGGACCTCGGCCTCATCTCTTTGATTGGAAATATATGCTGATTTCGGTGGGGGAAAAAAAAAAAAAGAGACCTGAACGTTCTACTCTGTTTCCCCCCCCTCTCGAATTTGGTAGCAAATTTCAACAATACTCTCAGGCAAAAGATGTTCGTATTGCATTGTTCTTCGACTTTTTCTTCTTTTTCTTTTTTTGAACGTTTTTGAAGTTTTTTTTTTAATATTGAAAAATGTCTCAAATGCTACAGACTTTGAATACAACATTCGTATGTTGTATTCGAATACAATGTACATACGTTGTATTTGACCGTATGTTCTATTCGGAAAAATAAGAGCAATTTCTAAAAGTCCGATTTTCGAAGGTAAGTCAAATAGAACGTACTTATATTTTTTTCGGGGTAAGAAGGTAGTAAACATATATGAATGAGCATCATTTAGAGAAGTTAGAGAACAGACAAATATAACCTGATGATCTGAAGGAAAAAATGAACAGTAGCATACCTACCACTTTACTCTGCCCGCCGGTAAGGCACACAGGGGTGTGGGCAGCTGGCGCTCAACCACAATCCTGGGAACCTGCGACGTTTCCGACTTTTACTTGCGACGTTTCGGTACCCGACTCCTACCAACCTACGGCGCTTCACCTACGGACCCTAAGACTCAGCCTTAAGGTCGGGATAGCCAGGGACCGGAACCGTGGGAGCGGGGAATGTTCCCGCTCTGATACTTGTGTGATGGACACGCCAGGATGGTGGTCCCGTCAGTCTCAAGACGAAGGGGTGAGGAAGGAGGAGATGGTGATGGAGCTGGAAGGGACAGCGCAGCTCCTACACAGACTCAACACGCACGTACTCCAAGATGTGCAAATGAAGAATGATTGAGAATACAGACTGACTGGCTGGACTGGACTGGACTGGACTGGTACCGACAGTGGTACCGGACTGGACTGGACTGGTACCGACAGTGGTACCGGACTGGACTGGACTGAATAGACACACAGCCTGTGGGGTCAGGCCACGACCTGATCCCACAGGCCAAACAGACAGAGGGAGAGTGGTACCGGACTGGACTGGACTGGACTGAATAGACACACAGCCTGTGGGGTCAGGCCACGGCCTGGTCCCACAGGCCGAACAGACACAGAGACAAATAGCCCTGGCTAAATAGGCCAGGGTAGATAGACGCCCGCTCAAGTGCGCTGTGTGGTGACAAAGACAGACATAGCTGGAGTATTAGGGTAATCGAGTTGCCATCTGGTAGCTGTCATTTTCTGCTCCTTTTGGAGCTGGATCGCGCTGTTGTGTTGAGCGTTTGTATGAGAGAGCGTGTGCTTGGTGGTGACTGAGCCATCGAGTGGGAGCATCACTTCGATGTTCAGGGAGAGATCCTGTGTAGAAGAGAGGAGGAGACATGCTGGGGGTAGTAGAGATTGTACTGCCTGAAGACTGTGTTGCATTCTGACCTGCAGACTTTGTAGCAGCAAGTGACGGGGCTTGCTTTGTGGGAAGTTACACAGAATTTTCAAGTTGAACTCGATGGCGCAATTGAGCCAGGCCGGTTATCTCGAATTTGCATCGCAAATTTGCGACATCTCTGACGACTGTAACTCTGAAATTTTGTTGAATTGTGTGGCGATTCTTGAAGCGGAAGGAGAACTTTGATTTTCATGTGTTTGGTGTGACCACCATATGTGCACGCTCGCATGGAATGGACGATGCATGAGTGAGGGTCTCCTTGCACAATTGCAAAAGGAAAAGCTAGCGGACACAGGAATAGAAGCAGCAATAGAAAACAGAAATGTCCCTGCACTCCAGTTGTTGACGCAGAATAGGCACCATTTTCTTACCAGCGAAGTGGAGTGCATTTTTTGGAGGGAAAAAGAAAAGAAAGATTAGGGCACTCCCACTACCAAGCACTGCCTGCAGTCTACTTTTTTTGTTATTGTTGTTATTAATCATGCTGATAAACTGATAATTAAAAAAAAAAGTGGAAATTTGTGTGAGGGGTGCCTCTAAAAGCAATTTCCTGGTTCAAATGCCAATGGAATCAGATGAGTAAAAGCGAAACTGAATTTTCCTGGGGCCGGTCAGTTCGAACTTCAAAGATGATAGCTTAAGGCAGTCACCCCTTTTTCTTTTCTTTTTTCCCTTAAACCACCGCTACCTTTCCCGTATGTCGGCCCTGGGTATCTAGTAGCCTACTCCTGAAAAATAGCTGCTGTGCTGCCATCGATATTTTTCATCGATGGCGCGTCATGGACGAATTTGAATTTGAGGCCCGCGGCCCCACATATGAGAAAGATACTGGTGGCTTAAACCACGAGTACATGGCCCCAGGCAACTGGAGAACCTGTGTTGAGCCTCTCCTAAACTTTAGGAGACCGAGCGCCGCAGATGAAATGAATCGGCGGCGGGCGACCTCCGAAAGGGCCCCGCGGCCGATAGCTGGCATGTACT